GTTTTCGCATAGTATACACAAATGAGGCATATTTGACAAGAATGAATAACATTTTAGTAGAGCATGGATTTTGGCGAAATATTTAAGCTGTCAAAATTTCAGAAAGTTGACACCATAAACAACAAAGTTAATCAAGAATGTTTCCTAGAATCTTTATAGAGCTGGGCTGAAGGCATCTTCTAGTCTTCTCGTCGATTTATTGAAATAATATCCAATGCATACATTATGATATTGTTATATGCACATTTATATATATTATATTAATTAATTTTATGCACTGTAAACAAATCTGGCACATGATGTCAGGTTGAAAGAACATGATTTAAAATTAAATTTGTCCAGCATCTGAGCCAGTTCATCTCAATGTGTAACTAAGTTGTGAGCAAGTTTGTCAATGGCAAGGGCCATCTTGTAGTCAACATATTTGATAAAGCTTACCCACTTTAGGCAACACTTAGCCAGGCCACAGATGCAGATGCCAAAAGACACACACACCTCGTTTATTCAGAGCTCTAACTTGGCATCCACTTCTCTACTTTTCTCTGTCACGGTGCAGGTTTTCTCGTTGACAAATTTGGCAAATACAAGCCAGTCGTTGTGATGAGTCTTCTACTGAATGCAATTTTCCATCACTCGCTGCTCTTCATACCGCAGCAGGAGATACCAGGAGTGGTCCCATCGGCATTTGTAATCCGGCATCCGGAGAGCGGCGACACTGAGGTAAGCATCCATTTCAATAAGTGCCACAACTACAAAACTCTGTCATGGTTTGTCTTGATGGAAATTTTCTCTTTAATTACTTAAATCGCTCGAATCCTACTTTGAAAGCACACAAATTGGATTACATAGTCTACGTAAACGATTCTTTCGGCTATAAACTATCAATGTTAGCATTAAATTCAATTGAAAATTAAATTCCTAAAAGCTTCGCAGTTCGATGTTTAGCTAAGTGCTAAATTCATGCAACTGCCTTGAATTGTGCTTTAGCTTTTATGTAGAGTGCAGCCTGATAGACTGCTGCACATTAGCTGCCACACACACACACACACACACACACGCACACACACACACACACACACACACAGACACACCCACGATGTAGTACAAAAGGTTGCAAGCAACCTGAAGCGGCTTGATGCAGCTGTTGCACAGTAGATTAAATGCGCCTGCTTCATGGTTTCTTGTCGTGGTTGTTATTTGGTATTTTGACAATAGTTTGGGCAAAGCCAAAGTGGGACACAGTTTTGGGTATTCGCCACTGACTTTTCTTGCTGTTTGGCAGCTGGTGCAGAGCAGGCGCACATCCTCTGCGACGAGGCAGACCTAATAGCAACAAGGCTTTATAAACTTTATGAAAAACGATTCACCCACGTACATAAAGTATAACTAAGCCGCATAAAGGGTACAAACTCTTGTAATTTTGTCAAGAAATGTGTGACGCATAAGAGAAGGCTCCATACGTATTGATCACTATCAATGGGCATTTCAATAGGGTAATTCGTAATTATTCATTAGTCATTATTCATCAGTCATTGTTCATTAGTCCCCACTCATTAGTCATCATTCATTAGTCATTACGAAATCGTATAAAACTCAGCTGCATATTTTTCGAATTTAATTCACTTACATAAGAAATGGCTCTAAGAAAGCAATGCATATATGTGATATATTACACGATATATGCATTGCTAATCAGTAAAGTAAATTGGAAATTGACCACATTTATCTTTTTTTGAAAGCAACTTAATCTGAGCATTATGAACTGACACAGACTACCAACAAGGTCCGTTTTTACCCGCCTATGGATATTTATCATCAATATATATATATATACATATATAAACCTGGCTGATAAATAAAAATTGACATTTTCACTATAGCCTTTTTTTCAGCCAATTTCAATGGGTATTGTATGTCCGATATGGTTCATTTCGTGTTGCCTAGGAAATGTTTTACTTAATCCAAAAGCCCTGCAACGGACACGTATTCAATTGTGGCACACGTATTTCGTGTCTGTCTCGCGGTCCCCGCTGGATGTCTATATATTTTGCGAGGAGCAAGAAGCAGTGCAGCACAAAAGCCGGCTTTTATTCGAGGCGCCATAACGCTGTCACTATCAATACACACTCGTACACTAAGGCACACGCCCACATAGAGCTATAAAACGCACACCAACTGAGCTTCTCCACTTCGGCGTGTAAGTGTGCGTGCGTGTGTGTGTGTGTGCGTGTGTGTGTGTGTGTGTTAGCTGTGCCCGCGCGGACAAAGAGTGTGTGAGAGAGAAAGAGAGGAAAACTTTGGAAGCGACTGACTACACATTGCTGGGAGCCCATCAGCCTGACTCGCGTTGGCGCAGACACAAATGCAGCTTCTGGCACATACAAATGCTCACGCACACACACACACACACACACACACACCATATTACGCATACGCATAGTGTGTGGCAGATTATCTGTCTGTAATGGGTCACCCTGTGCCAGATGTTGCATCTTTTTGTGTTGCATACCATTCGGCTGCTTAAATTGCCTTTTTGCTCGAGGTTCGAGCTTTGCATGCGCATAAATTTGTGTCATGTAAAATCATTGAATATGGCAAATAACTGTCGAATGTGGCAAATGTTGGTTGCCAACCTTTTGGACCTTGTGAATGTGAATGTGTAGGCATTGGCAAAAATTTGTTGCTTGGGGGCATTTCATTTTTATGCATTGTATTTCTTGTGTTTTATGCTCATAAGTCCGGCAATGTGGACAGTTTTGTGTTATTGTTGTTTCAGGCATTTATTGCCTTTGGCATTTGTCCGGCTGTTGCTGCCTTTGTCATAATAAAATATTAAGCACTGAACTGTGTTTTATGTGTCAGCAAAGCGCTTTTATCTGGTTATATATTAAGAGAGCATGGCTGCAAGAAAAGCATTCCCACAACATCGAGTAGAATAAATAAGCAAATAACGCAGAAAAATATAAATTTTCGAAGAATACTCTTGCTGTAGGTACAGCTTACGATAAAATACTCTGTACTTATTTAAAAAAAAGGCTGAATGGAGCATTTGATTTTCCCCAAATAGAAAAAGAGAGAAAGACTATATGTGTATGGAAAAACATAAACGATCTAATATCTCAAGTACCAAAATGCGCGATGCTTTCGATATTGGAAAATCTATTCATTAGAATGTGTTCTTTGTCCATTATATATATTTGAATAGCTTATGCATACCCTTTTAGCACATTTTAATGGGCATATGTTTTGCTAGCATTTTGCAAGTTCAATATTATTCCCAAAACAAAGCTGAGAGACTTTTCCTATTGAAATGTCAAAAGAATGCACATGGAAATTGTAAGTTCTCGACTTGGTGACAGCTAAACACTGACTGCAGAACTAACAACAGAACTGAAGAACTTCCAGGCTGGGAGGCAATGCCAAAAAATCCACTTAGGTACACAGGAGTGCACGTCAGCTCCGCATGTGTTTGTATCACGTACATTTATCTTTGTGTCGTTTTGCAGCACTTAAACTACACCGACAACAGACACGTATGCCTCGCACACACACACACACACACACACACACGCATGTATGTGTGCTGCAATACGGCAAGTTGAACAGAGCCGTTGTCGTTAGTCGTAATGAAACGCAATGGACCTGCGTGTTAAGGGCCTCGTTGTGGTCCTCTTCCTGAACCAATGCCTGTGGCACGCACTGCCCTAAATGAGAATTGGCGCAAAGTATTCTCTACTTTGAGATACGCACACTCGACACACTCTCGCATTAGTCATTCGACACTTAGCCACATACATGGTTAGGGTGTGTATCGAATTTGTATTTATGATCTGCAAATAAAATACATTAAGACAAGACGGAGAGACAGAATGCAGCAAGCCGAACAGAAAATACCCTATTCAGTGTCCTACGATTTTGCAGACATCTGAGGAGAATTGTGAATTGTTTGGGGAAGCTAAGCGCTTCATTTTCAACTAACAAACTGACAAAAGGAAAGACGATCAGATGGAATATCGATACTGATCAATGATATATATGCAGCTAAACGCTTCATGCCAAAGTGTGAATACCCTCCACAAGAGCATAGCTGGCAATTAAGATGCCTTTAATCAAGAATGTTCTAATAGAAGAACCTGAAGACCACGCCCAGCTAGCTTTAGGAACATGCCAAGTTTCTTCTACAAAGTGTATACTACACAGATTCTATATACAAAGTCAGATATCTATTTAGTCGAATGCATGGAAATGGTGTAAGTTATTGGATTACGTGGACATTGGTAGGACCTATTTTAGGTATTTAGAACTTTAATATTCTAAGAATGTTTCGATAGTAGATATGTTTGCCAATTTGATATATATGACCAATATGTAGACTGATGTCAATAGTTGCAAAGAGAAATATCAGCAGGGACTATGCAAATATTTGTGTTGTTTTTGCTATCAATAATACCTAGCTGTTTATTAAGTGTTTAACATTTTGTTGCAAATTTGAAATAAACATTAATTTTGTGCTTTGCTTTCAACTGTTGTCTGGCCAAAAACAATGTGTCCGCTCTCTCTCTCTCTCTCTCTCTCTCGGCTAGATTGCAAACTTGTTATATAAACTCGTATAAATCAGCGTCAAGCAATGTGTGAAATTATTCATCCAACCGTTTAAGAGCCAGGTCACAGAAAATATGTTGTCACCGAGACAAAACAATTCCGACAGTTGAAAATTCCTTCAGCCATTTGTGTGCACAGCTTACTCTTTGTCTAATGCATTAGGCTATGCATCCAAAATATTTATTTAAGTATTCAGCTTCAAAAATGGGTCAAATCGAAACTGAAGTCGATTTTCATATTGCTTCGATAGTTGTTTCGTGCTTCTCGAATTTCGTTCATTGAAACTTTTTCTAAATCTCCCACTTGCAATGGACGGGTTTCCCAATAAAAGTTCCTTTAAGCTTAACATGGCAAGTTATCCAATCTGTTTTGCTGACTCTCAGTATTAAATGAAGTTATTTTAAATAGAACTTTTCACTAGTTTAAAGAGTGTTCGCAGCAGGTGTCTGACAATGAAGGGCGACTGTATACTACATATTTAAAGTTATATATTTTGTTTGTACTTTCAAATGGCATGTAAGGGATTTTAAGGAAGGTTTTAAAGGTTGTTGCATCTTGAGCTTTGTTTCTTCTGTTCTTTGCTTTGTGGCTTATTGTGCATTTTTTCCAGCAAGGGTTGCCGTTTGGGGAAATTTGTATTTGGACTCGTTGTTGCCCGGAAATTACCATTTTTATGATTGCACCGCTGGACGGGGTTGCTGTTGTCTTTCATAGTCCTGGAATTGAATTTCTCGATTCGCATTAAAATTAGTAATCGATATATGCATGGACATGGACATGGACATGGACATGGACATGGACATGGACGAGGACGCGAGCAATCACAACGGACAGCCATGGCTGCATATGCAGATAAACGAAATGGGGGAATATTTATTATTATTTATGTTCTAGTGTAATGCTGGGCCTGTGCTCAAAGGCTGGTCTACATGGCCAAAATAGTCTTGTCTCCTTCGGTCCAGTCGATGATCGTCTTATCAACATCCTCCATATCCATATTAATTGAGCTCTCGTAAACTGTGGCCGTTAGTTCCTCTTCTTCGCCTTCATCGGCTTCAGCATTGAACTCGCTGTATTCATCTTTATCGTTGGCCGAATTGTAAACTGTGCCTTCATCCGAGTCCGAATCATCATTGTTGCTGTCGGGTATTAGCATGCCAGCTGCATAAAAGTGATCTTCGAGCATGTTTTTCCACTCGTTCAGATAGCTATTGAAATCGCGAGCCTCGAAGCGGGCCGTATTTCGAATGTACCACATAATATCGGTACCAGCCAATCCCTCATAGCTGCCATTCGGTCCAAAGTCGTGTGGTGCACTGGACACATCGTAGATGGTGCCCAGTAGGGCGACCAGATACCTGCCGTTGGGATTCTTTGCATCATAGTATTCGAGCTTCTCCCTGGTCAGAGTGAGATTCTTTAGAGGCGGCGGTATCTTGACGTGCCCCTCCTTCTCGTAATCCTCGTCATCGTAGGTCGGATATTCACGGCGCATATGCGTATAGGCAATATAGCCCACGAGGCAGGTCATTGCCACAATTCCCAATGGTGAACTGATCACTTCACGCAGCTGCTCACTCCATGTATTGGTTGGTATCGAAGACATCGAGATATTTTGATGTCAACCTTTATTTTTGTTCAAATTTGTACTTTCTGTTTTCTCCTAGTCGTAAGCTCTACTACTGTTTGGCTTTCATTTACTGAAATTATTCGTTTGAAATGCCTACTGCAATGTTGTGTGAGGATTTTCGTAATGCCGCCAAAATGAAACGAAAACTGACGGAATACTATCTAAAGAAATTGGTCTCACATTATGCGCAGCATATTTTCATATAAACGACCTCGACTTTCAACGAATTGTTTCTATTACACGCAATACCCTGTACTATACTTGTTCCTCAGAACCACATTTTGATCTTGATATCTTTTCTTCTTATTCATGCTTAGACCTTATTTTAAGCGAGATATTTCTCGAATGGGATTCCAAATTAAAGGGCTTAAGAAAATTTGCTTAGCCTAATGGAACGCTTGTGTCAATTGTTAATTTTTAGCATATTTAATGAAATCAGTTAAAATTTGTTCTGTTTTGTTAATCGTTTGCAGGTCTGGTGGTCACCTTGCCCCAGTAGAGAGTGTCCGGAAGAGCCCGAGCTGGATTTGGCTGTATATCAATGCGTTGACTATTGTCTGATGCAGGAGCAAGTAAATCCAGAACTTTACTCCGATGTGACGCAGTATGATAGGTCCACAACAAGGACGACCACGACGAGGGCAACGCTCGGTCCGAGCATGAATGCGAATGAGCCAGCCTTGGTGACCACCACAACAACAACATCGACGACCTCTTCGCCAGCGTCGTCATTACCAGCATTATTCGCAACACAAACGAGAAGCAGATACCAAGATGCACTTAATATGTCATCGACCATGTTCCCGCCGCTGGAGAACGTTTCTGCCTTGTCCTTGCAAGTGCAGCAGCCACCCTCTGGCGCTGCTTCATCGCCAGCTGTGGAATTGTCAGCCATGTCCATGCAGGGATTTAATCGTAAGTGACACTTCTACATGTTGATCCCTCCATTGTCCCCCTTTTCGACCACGGAATTGGTCAGCTTCGCTCTTATTATCATTAGAGCCAAGCGGTTGCAGCGACTGCCTCCGGCTGCTAGTTAGCCTTTAGTTTTGGTGTCGACCGAGTCATTCACACCAGAAGAGCCTGGACCTCTTCTCTAACATTGTCCATATCTGTGTTCGCATCCATGTCAAGTGTGTGTTTTTTTATGCCCTGAACCCATTGAATATGGCTTAAAAGGAAAAATGTAACTAACAGGAAGAATCTACAAATATATATATATGTTGATTGGAAGGACAACTTTATGTTTAAAATATGTTTTCGTCAGTCGGATTGGGGCAAAATATTATCAATATCGATCTACTTCATCATATTCCTAGTCATCCGTAGTTAATCAATCTCAAACATTAGAAAAGAAAATAATGTTTATATTTGAAAACATTTGTGAGCTGGGACTTAAATATACTGCACAACTGCGTGGGAATTTAGGCTTTAGCTTGGCGCAGTTTTTATTTTACTTTAAAATGTGAAAGGTTTGCTTTAATACCACAAGGCAAATGAGCTGACCACGGGACTACTCTGCAGCTATTTAAATACTCGGCTTGTAGTTTGTTGCTTGCCTGTAATTGTTAAAGCTCTATTCAGCCATACTTATCATACGGGTGCTTACAGTTTCTGCGGGCAATACGGGCGACAAATCAAAGGCCAGCAGCAGTTGGGTGCATTCGGATGATGCGGATGCGACGTACTTTATGCTGCAAATGCATCCCGATTTGGCGGACCCCACCGAGCAGCTGGGCATGGAAATCGAGCAAGATGACAACGAAACGGTCACCGATATTAGGCAACGTTTTGGCGAGGATAGGCTTGTGAAAATGCAAATCAATCTCACTGACATGGACGACCTGGATTTGCGATGCGGAGGCCTGGTTAGGCGCACCAACATGTCCTATGTGAACACAAAGGCCGTCAGGTGCTTGATGCAACGCTGCACGTTCACGTTGAATGCGCCCGAAATTTGCCCACCTGACTACAAAGAAACCGATGACACAATATTCTGGATATACTTTCTACTACGGTACGTAGGCTAACATTCTCTTAAAACGATTCAAAGCAATGTCCCGTCTCGGCCTGGCTTGGCTTGCGATTGAACCAATGACTTTTCCACTATTCAATTTATCATAGAACTAGTTTCTTAGAGCGCAATAGTTCGAATAGAAAATCTGGTATCTATATATATATATATATATACGTTGAAATCAAAATATAATCTTTCAGTCAGTTTAGCCATAATGAAGAATGCAAATAGAGTATTGTGCAGTCGAAACAGTTGTAATTACATATTTAATTTTTTAGATTTCTTGCAACGACCATGTTGTCGGCAGGAGTCACCATTATGGATCCCATTGCATTGACGATGATTGAGAAGTTCGGTGGAGACTTTGGACGTGAACGCTTGTTTTCGAGCATTGGCATGGCCATCTTCTCGCCCATTACGGGTATCATGATTGACTACTCGTCACGCGGATTGGGCTACACAGACTACTCGGCTGCCTTTTATACGTACGATGTGCTGTTGGTCATATCGACAATGTCCGTGCTAATGATGCCGCTGGGCGAGAAGCTGCCGGCGGATAATGTCTTTCGGGATTTATGGAATCTATTGAAAATGCCGCACGTGATTGCCTTTATAATATTTCTGTTTGTGCTCGGAAATTTCTGGGGCTTTATCGAGAGCTTTCTATTTTTGTATCTCAAGGAGCTGGGCGCTCCTAACTACTTGTTGGGTAAGTTCACGCAATTCTGCCCTCATTGCCATCAGCGAGCAGCTCATCTGTTAATATGGGCTTCGTGTGTGCTATTCCAGGCATTACAATTACTGTGGGCACCGTGAGCAGCATTCCATTTTTGTATGGTGCGGAGAAAATCACACGCATATTTGGACACGTTAATTTGATTATCATTGCGTTCTTTTCGCACGCCGGACGCCTAGTGGGCTATTCGTTTATCGAGTAAGTGTGCCAGACATGTGCGTGTAATCTAATTTTATGGCAGCATCGAGTTTCTCCCAGAAACGCCTGGTGGTGCTTTCCGTTCGAGGCCATGGAATCGCTCTCCTGCCACCTGATGTGGGTGGCAGCTGCCACCTACTGCTCCATATTGGCACCCAAAAGCTTGCTGGCCACGCTGATTGGCGTACTCGGCATGGCTCACTTTAGCTTGGGCAAGTCTGAAAGCACAAAATGTAATCCAGCAACATGTAATGAATGTTCTTATTCGCATAGGACGCGGCAGCGGCAGCTTTACGGGCGGCCTGCTCATCGGACAGTTTGGCACACGCGATGCATTCCGTTACATGGGCCTGCTTGCCGTGGTGGGCGGCATTGCGTATGGGCTGCTGCATCTCATTTGGCTGCGCAAATTTGATCACACAACAGAGGAGTCCGAGGAGGACGTTGAGGCCGTCGAAGCTGGCGAGACCGAAAAGCTGACCGAGCCCGCCACCAAGGAGCAGGGCACATCCATGTCGCTGGAACGCCTCAGCCTAATGATCAAGTACAATCAGATTGGCAGTCTGTCATCGCTGCCAAGAGGCTCGAGGGTGAGTCCAGGCTTACGATTCGCCTAGCAAGTTTTTAATTACAATTTATCGATCAGGCGGATATACATGACCATTTATCGGTGCGCCGCAGCAGCTACAACGTGGAGTCCTTGAGGGGCGTGCCACGGCACGGGAACATTGGCAATAGCGCCTCTAAGGTGGATATACTGCGTTCGGCGCTCGAAATTAATCACAAGTCCTCCAACAATTCGATGCTGAGCAAAGCCGATAACAAAACGTCAAATCAATCACTGGGACGAAATCGTGCCGACAGTGCGCCCAAATTGAATCACAGCAATCTGAAGAACATTTCACAGCCCGCCCTGGAGGGTGTCGTTTTGGAGGTGAGTCCCAGTTCGAGTCCACCTAACAACCTATGCTGTGTGTGTGTGAGTGTCAGGGTGTGAGTGTTTGTATGTTTCTGATTCCGATGATTGTCGTCAATTGTTTTGACTTCTGTTGGGGGTGGCGCCTTTTACCCTGGCTTGGCGTGAGCAGGTTTGTGAGTTTTAAAAATGTTTAGCAGCTGTTGCGCCAATAACTTTCTAGCATACCCAGCGCTGTCCGGCTGGTCTCTTCCTGTTCCTTGCCGGATGCTCTGCGGCACTGCATCCGCTTGCCGTTTATCGTTTATCGTGCATTGTTTATTTTTCAGTATTCGTGTGCTTGGCAGTTGTTTCCTCTCCAATGGCTTTGAATCCCAACTCCGAATGGAATGCAGCTTTATTTTTTATTTTGCTTTTCCTTTAAACTAGCTGAACCGTAAGAGTTAGATCTACTCTGAATAACAAACATTTATACAGATATATCGCCTATCAGACATGTTTAGTTCGAATTAGAACTCGAAATTGCATTTCTTAGATTCTATTCTTTTGATACTCTATTCACTAAACGGAAATGAGTATATTAGTATATATCATTTAACACAATCAAGACTACAATTTTCGACAAGTCTCTTAAGCTGTAACCACACCCAAAACAGAGTATTGCTCAGTCGAGTGCTTATCTAGTTGATTTCTGAGAGCATGTCCAAATTGTTGTCCATCGATTTCTAAGCTCAACGCAACAAATTCAGCCGGACGCATTTCACCTGTGAATGCAACTGCCAATGAGGTAAATAATTTTTCCATCGGTTTAATTAAAAACTTATAATGATATATACCTGGCTGCTGGCCGCAGTTAATTTCGTAATTAATTGGCAAAGCTTTCAAGCGGGCTTTTATGGCTGCTCGGCAACCATAATTCAATAAATCAAATGTGGTTGCAACAAATGCGCAAAAAACGAAAAAACAGAAAACAGAAAACAACAATAACAACAGCAAGAGCAACAAATTAATGAATTTATGAACATGCCAAACTTTGCCTTGGCATTTCCAGGCTACAAACAACACTCTGAGGCGGACAGACGGACATGTGGACCGACCGACTGACAAACTGAGAGCTCGACTGAGCTGGAAACAAAAGCTAGCTGGGAGCAGGAAGCGTGAGCTAGGAGGCGACGCTTGCAAATTGCAGGCGAGACCAG